TTAGTACTTCATTCCAACATCCTATTTGCATGGAGAGATCACATTTTGTTTACCCATTCACCAGTTGATAGCTATGTGGGTTGATTCCACCTTTGGGCTGTTGTAAATAGTGGTTCTCTGGACATTTGTGAATGAGTTTTTGTTTGAATACCTGTTTTCAATTCTTATGAGTATATGCCTGAGAGTGGAATTGCCGGGTCTTATGGTAATTCTACGTTTAACTTTTTGAGGAACCACCAAACTTTTTACTTTTTTAATATGGCTACTAGAAAATTTGAAATTACGTACATGACTCACATCCTATTTCGACTGGAGAGTACCACTCTGGATGTTTTTTTCTGCTCAGGTGAACCTCTCATTTATCTTTACCCTCACCTTTTTCCAAACAGGCTTCAGGGAACTTAATACTATAAAATAGATTATATGGGCTCGGCACCTGGAGCTCAGCAGCAAGGGCACCAGCCGCATACACTGGAGTTGGCCAGTCTGAACGCCCCCCAAACCTGCCAAACAACAATGACAACTGCAACAGAAAAAATAGCCAGGTGTTGTAGCAGGTGCCTGTAGTCCCAGCTGCTTGGGAAGCTGAGGCAAGAGAATTGCTTAAACCAAAGAGTTCAAGGTTGCTGTGAGCTGTGATGCCACAGCACTCCACTGAGGGCCACATAGTGAGACTCTGTTGCAAAAAATAAATAAATAAAATAGATAATATGAAATTGAAAATCAGTGACCCAATAGTGAAAAAGAACAGACTCCAGTAATAAAAGAAGGTAGCAGGAAGAGATTTTGTCAGAGTAACTGAACGTTTCTTTGGTGTTTATTTCATGCCAGGCTCTGTAGTAAGAGTTTCCTTTATATGCTGACTTTTCACAGCAATCCTGGGAGGCAGGTAGTGTGATTAGCTTCATTTTGCAGAGAGGTAATTAACACCAGAAAAGTTTAGATTCAAACCCAGGCCTCGCACCAACTCCCCGGCTCTTGGTATATTGACAGCTGATGCAAAGGTGAAACCATCAGCTCTAGAAAGCCCCTGCCACCGAGGCTGGCAAGACAGGTGATCCTCACTCAGCAAGTTATCTCCCTGCCTGTTCTCAGGTTAGCTCACAAGGAACTGGACCCCATGGCCTGGTGAGAGAAATGTAGATACAACATGATGAATAATTTCCCCCTCCGAGATAAATGTTATCAGAAACGAAGGAGCATGCCACGTCAAGTGAAAAGGGAAGGGCACAGGTCTTAATTTATTAAGTGCAATTCACTAGAGACCCAGGAACTCAGAAGATAAGATAGTAAATTTCTCCTTTAACGACTTCTAGAATGTTGTTTTATAGACTTCTGCTGCCCTCTGGTGGCTCTGAGAATAAAGTGCCCAGCAAAGAGTTCCCACTCACTCCCATGGGGGCTTCTTCCTGCTTGTATTTGTGAATCTGTGTGAAGCTGAACTTCTCTGCACTCCTGAACAAGAGTAATGGACTTGGTAGTGAAGGGAAGACAGTCCTCAACTCGAAAGCGAGCCACCTGCCAGGCTACGTGCTGAGCCTCCCACCCTTCTCACACCACATACTTCACTTACCAGTGACATCCACGCCCCACGGGAGAGAGCGGTGAGATCCAGAACAGCAGCAGGGCCCATGGTATTGCTGAAGCTAGAGACACACATGGGGTCGGAGATTTCTACAACTTCGTGGTCAAGGACTGGAGCAGAGAAGGGTGGAGCTGCAAATCCCCACTGGCTCTGACTTAAGGAACAGGTCCTGTGGGTCCATGCTGGAGAATGGCAGAGGCCCAGACATTCCTGCCATTGTGAGGAAACTGAGGCTCAGGGAAGGGGAGGAGTGCGGCTCTTCAGCCTGATCAGGGGCTAATTTCAGGCTGTCAAGTTAAAGAGTAGGACCAGGGTCTGCTGAGATCTGCTCCCCAGAGCAAAGGCTGAAATGGTCTTAAACTCTGAGGAAGGAAAGGTTCTGAAGCCTTCTTGGGTTAGAGTACAACTGTAGAGAAAGCTGCTCAGAAAGGCCTGAGGGTAGGGGCAAAACCTAGAATTTGACCCACCTCAACCCTTGACTGTCAGCTCCAACACAACCCCCAATTCAAATTTAATATTTCTACATTCTGTCTCTCCTCTTGTGCGCTCTCAACATGCCTACCTGTAAGTGGGTCAGTAGTGCCCACCTGATGGGGTGGGCTGCCCCAGATGGGAAGGGAAGCCCTGAGGGGAGCCTCTCTCCCCTGTGCCCAAGTCTAAGGTGACTACTAGACTACTAGACTATGGCTACAGTCCCAATTTTTAATAATTTGTCCCACGTCCTGCGGTGTTTTTAAAAAGTCCCAATTTTTGGAAAGAATGCACAACAAGCTAGGGAACGGCAGGAGAACAGGAAGGGAATATACAGTTTTCGGCTGCCATGTGGCTATTTCGCCAGGATATGAGTTTTATATTATTTTTGTTAATTTTATGATGTTAAACTTTAATAATAACAAATAATTCTTGAGAACCGATTATCAAGAACTGCTTATCAAAGTTCACATTGTTGATCAGTTGTTAGAATTCAACAAGAAATATGCCAAAGAATACTATACATAATTTTTTTAATGTATCACATTTGTAAATTGTACTTATGTTGAAATTTAAAAATATATATTACAATACTATTTTTGCTTTCTATGAAAATTTTTGTTGCTCCATATAGACCAAATTTTTAATTGAGAACAACACCCCCCCACCCCTACCCCCACTCCCACCCCACCCCCGTCAATGGTGTCCTGCTTTACCACTTTACCAATGTTAAAATCTGGTCACCTCTCACACCTCCCTCTGCACCCTAGTAGAAAGTCATCCTATAGTATTTTAAGATGTGGTTTTTCATTGAAACCTCCACCATGCTGATTGTTTTAAACTATGCGCAGGTTTTTGTTTTTTTTGGGGGGGGGGCCAGGGCTGAGTTTGAACTCGCCACCTCTGGCATATGGGGCCGGTGCCCTACTCCTTTGAGCCACAGGCGCTGCCCATATTTTTATTTTTTAAATAAACAATAAAATGATAAGCAAAACAGTGGCAGGGGGAGCTGCCAAAATGTTCAGCAGCCCAACACTCTAACACCAGTGCTTCCCAGCAACATGAGCCCGGAATGTCCACTGTGAGGGTCATGCCAGCCACTGTTTTCCAGGCCACACTGACATATCTACTCGACTCAAAGAGATGACTGTTCTGAACCAACAGAAACCAGAATTTCCCAGGCCAGTGTGAACTCAGAGGCAAGGAAGGGGGAAGGGTACAAAAACAAAGTTGTGACAGGAAATGGGGGAAGGGAGTTGTTTGTTTTAAAGTTATACTTCAGGGCAGGGCCGTGGCTCAGTGGGTAGGGCGCTGCCCCCATATACCCGGGGTGACGGGTTCGAACCCCGCCCCAGCCAAACTGCAACAAAAAAATAGCAGGGCATTGTGGCAGGCACTTGTAGTCCCAGCTACTCAAGAGGCTGAGGCAAGAGAGAGCCCAGGAGTTGGAGGTTGCCGGGAGCTGCGATGCCATGGGACTCTACTGAGGGCAATAAAGTGAGACTCTGTCTCTAAAAAAGAAATAAATAAATAAAATAAAATAAAGTTATACTTCACCTTTTCCCACTAAAATAGGTTATTACCAAAGCATTTTTGTGATATTCAAGTGCACGCTGGTATTTTCTTTTTTCCTTGTTATAAAATTTGGATTGAGATTGCTAGCAAGATTGCCTACCTAGCAATCTCAATCTAAATTTCAAATGCATAAGCCCTTTGAGCCAACATGGCACATACTATTTATTGCCTATCTACCCCAAAAGCAGTCTTTCCAGGCAGCGCCGGTGGCTCACTGTGTAGGGCGCTGGCCCGTATACCAAGGGTGGTGGGTTCAAACCCAGCCCCAGCCCAACTGCAACAAAAAATAGCCGGGCATTGTGATGGGCAACCATAGTCTCAGCTACTTGGGAGGCTAAGGTTGGAGAATTGCCTAAGCCTGGAGAATTGTCTAAACCCAAGAGCTAGAGGTTGCTGTGAGCTGTGATACCATAGCACTCTATTGAGGATGACAAAGTGAGACTCTGTCTCTAAAAAAAAAGAAGAGTGTATGTAAAAGGAATGAGATTGAGGTAGACAACATTTTAAAATAAATAAATAAAAGCATATATGTGATCACATGAAAGATCTCTAAGATATAGAATATCATCCATTTTACATGCATAAAAATATTTTTTTCTAAATTACCTTGATCCCAAGAACCTAGGGACATTCCTTCCCTGTAGTAAAGATACCTGGAATGGGGGCAAAACCTGTGACTCAAGGAGTAGGGCACCAGCTCCACATACCAGAGGTGGTGGGTTCAAACCCGACCCTGGCCAAAAACTGCAAAAAAAAAAAAAAAAAAAGATACCTGGAAGGGACAAATTGCTTGTCTTATCACCAAGGGCAGGCCCTCAAGGAAAAAGGTCCAGGATGGGAACATTCTAGCAACCCACTCCTATTCCACTCCCAACCCACATTCTCCAATAAAATAAGTTCAGAAGGCCCAGAAAGAAGGATGATAGACTCCCACCCCTGTCCCTGGAGCTTGAGAAAGACATCGATGGCAAGTCACCCTCAGTTTAGCTTCCACCCATCTCCCTGAGCCACATCTCACCAACACCTATTTTCAGTGTTCTCAGAAAGAATGGGTTACCCCTCCTTCCTAAATATGTTAGTCTTCAAATTCTACTGTCATACTCAGACACCCTAGTACCCCTTTGTGATCTGAGTCCTCAAACAGCATGGACCAGAGGGTCAGCACCAGCCTTTATTGGAGAAGAGAAGCACCACACACCCACTGCCCAATCCCAGAGCTGTCCTATGCTCTAAGCAGTGGCAGGAGGAGAAACAGAGCAGGAAGGGCCATGAGTGCTCCTGGGAGTGTCACAGCCCCAGCATAACACCCTCTCTTGGTCACTAAGACAAGCCCCCTGGCGTTACCAAAGATGCTCCGGACAAATCACATCTAGGGCACTGGGTTCTCTGCAAGCAGAAGAAATGTCAAGTCAGCTGTGCTCTCCTTCCTTCAGCTACTCAACTTGTTTTCTTTCCCCTCCACCCTACAGAAGCTTGTATATTGCTCTCAAAAGTCTTAAATGGCTCCCTTCTCCCTAGATAATTCTATCCAACAGGCATCAGAGATTCTCATTCAGTTGTCATCCTTATACCTCCTTCGATTAAAAAAAAAAAAAAACAGGAGGTATGTCTGTTCCTTTATCCACCTTCCTCTGACCTTCCACACCTCAAACATGTCACATACATTCCCACCCTCTGTGCCCTTGCTAACAATCACCAGATTACCTGTCTGGAATGTTCTCTGTGCTATCCTCACTTTGACAATCTGCCTAATTTAGGGGCTAGATCAAATCCCATCTCTCCCAGACTTCCCAGGGAACCGCACCCACTGTAAACTTCTTTAAGCCCATCCTGTTTGTATGAGGGTTCTGCTCTGTGATGTAGGATCCTTCTCTCCAACTAGATGCCTGTTAACCTTCAAAAGCCCCTTTCCCAGCATCTAAGCCAGTGCTTTGCACATAACAGGTAAGTCTATCATTGTTGATAACAATGGACTATACTCACCTAAACCAGAATCAGAACTGGTGGTCCAGTTGGGGTGCGATATAATTTTGAGCTGCTGGACTGGCGGGACACAGAAACGGCTACAGCCTGACTTACAACACTTTTCCCCAGCTGGGCAGTTCTTATCCAGAACGCAGCTGGTAATGCACATGCCAACCAGAATAGTTGGACAGTGACCATCCCGCCCTGCAGGTATAGAGAGAGGGTGTCAACCCCACCGTTTCCAAGTTCTCATCTACAGTAGAACTTAGACACAGACGCTCCAGGTGAATCAACCCCTGACCCTAACTAGGCATCATTAGCCAAACTAGGGGGAAACCATGAAGCTGGAGGAGCTAAGAATCTGTAGGGATCAAAGAGACCTCTAAGGCAAGAGTTCTCAGTGTCCAAAAGGAGTTCACTCAGGTAACTCAGGGGTTAACAGCCCTGCAAGTTGGAGGTGGGGCTGGGTGTTGTACAGAATGGGCAAGGGTCCCAGACCACCACCCTCGCCCACTGTGCTTAAGCTTCATAGAGTCACTTCCTCAGGGAGGCCTTCTCTGCCACCGTGCATGAGGTTGGGTGCCTGAGCTTTGTGCGCCTGTGGACCCTGTATGCCTCCTCATCCAACTTTGTCATAATTCATCATTTAATTGTCTATCTCCTCTAACAGGCTAAAGTTACATAAAGACAGGAGTATGTACCCAGCACCTTGAGCATTGCCTTGAAATCTAAATGGGGACTAAGACAACATCTGGGTCAATAATTCTTCAATGGAGTTCCATAGAGCCTGGCACAAAATGAATGCTCAAAAATATTTTGTTTTGTTTTTTTAATTGAAGAAACAAGAGAATCAGAACAGAAATGCTGTTATCTGTTATATGTATGTTGCTTCCAACTAAGATTTCATTTAGGGTAAGGAGGAAGCATTGGGTAAAAAACTAGATCTGAAAACTAGTGATCTTGGGCAACTCCTTCATTTTACAGATGAAGAAACTTGTCCTCAAAAAGAAAGATTTGTTTATTCAAGATCACAGAGCAAATCTGCAGCAAAATCAAGACTAGAAGCCACACTGCCTGCCGCCCAGCCTAGGGGTTTCTCACACTGCCCCCCACTTCCCGCTGCCCACTTCTTTTAATGCCAACATGGGCTCCTTGGCCCTGCTGGGAGGCTGTTGCTTGGGTTGAGGAATTAGAGAAACAGGAAGAATGAGAATTCTGGCTCCTCCCAGGAAGGGAAAGAGAAGGCCTCCATAGGTAGCTCCCATCCAAATCCACTCTGGGACTCAGAAGTACTCAAAGATTTCATCCCCCAAGAGCAAACATACCTCCCTGAATGTCTCCACGGCAGACGTGGCCACAGCCGGTGCTGCAGCATTTATGCCCCAGGGGACAGGACGTGTCCCCATCACACAGCTTCTGACATGGAAGGGGGTCAGCAGGACATTTACCATAAAACTCTGCCATAGAATCAAAGCATTAGAGCCCAGAAGTGCTCCAGAGTATGAAACACACCTTTCACTGTGTCCCATGCATATGTAAGTACATACATTTTTAAGTATGTATTTATGTGTATCATGTACATGCAATGCGCCCAAATACGTTCTATTTCTCTTTTCCTAATGCTAAATTGATTGTGGCAAACACACAAATTGCCAACTCCATATTCATTCTGTCTTCTTTCTTTTTATGGTGAACATTTACAGTAGCAGCCCCCAGTGAACTACACCTCCGGGATTCATGCCCTTGGGTAGTTAGTTCCTTTCCATACTGACTCTGGATTTGGCCACATGACTAACTTTGACTGGTTTTACTTCCATTGCTTAGATGAGCACTGTCTAATAGAAATGCAATGCAAGCCACATATGATTTCCTAATAGCTATTTCATTGGTGACCAGTGAGATTTCATAACAGCCACAAATACTCACTGACCACAATGCCTACCTAGAACTCCTGAGCCTTGCAAATGTGCTGTGTCTATCTAGCTCACATTGTAAACCTGGGTTGCTAATAACCAGCGGGTTGGTGTGGAGTGCAGTTAACTCAGGGAGGCCGGCTTCAGGACTCACTCATCACTCATAGATGATCTGAAAATGTCAAGTTACATTTATGTGATTGTTATGTAGGAATGATAGGACAATTGGGGATTAAGCATATTGAAAAGCGCTATCTTTTGTTGTTGTTGTTTTTTGTTTTTTTTTTTTTTGAGACAGAGCCTTAAGCTGTGCCCCTGGGTAGAGTACTGTGGCATCACAGCTCACAGCAACCTCCAACTCCTGGGCTCAAGTGAGTCTCCTGCCTCAGCCTCCTGAGTAGCTGGGACCACAGGTGCCTGCCACAACACCCGGCTATTTTTTGGTTGCAGCCATCACTGTTGTTTGGTGGGCCCGGGCTGGATTCGAATCCGCCACCTTAGGTGTATGTGGCTGGAGCCTTAGCCACTTGAGCCACAGGCACTATCTTGAAGATAAATCTTGACTCCTTGGAGAAACTAAGGTGACCTTGGTAGAGAGTGAAAGGAATCACATGTAAAATTCTTTGAATAGAAATGTGTGGACTTTAACTAATTTTTACCTAATTTACATATAATTTGTTGAACTCTGTTTTGTGTGTTTTTAAAAATTTTGTAAAGTCTTTACATTGTGAAGAAAAGGAAAGAAGGAAAAACAAAATAGCTTCATCCCTGTTAGTATCATGGAGCCACCATACCAGCCCTGGCCCTACTTCAGGACTTCTTGTTATGTGAGAAAAACAAACCCTCATATAGTAAACTTCCCGTTGTGCTCAGCCAGACACATTCCCTTTTTTTTTTTTTTTAACTTTGTCCCCCTCAGTAGAGTGCTGTGGCATCCCAGTTCACAGCAACCTCCAGCTCTTGGGCTTAGGCGATTCTCTTGCCTCAGCCTCCCGAGTAGCTGGGACTACAGGCGCCCACCACAATGCTCAGCTATTTTTTGTTGCAGTTTGGCCAGGGCTGGGTTTGAACCCGCCACCCTCGGTATATGGGGCTGGCGCCCTACCCACTGAGCCACAGGCACCGCCCAAGACACATTCCTAATGTGCCCCTTCATCGGCCTTATGAAGATAATGAAACTCAAAAGAGAGAAGGATCTTGCCCACAACTACAGAGTAAGTTGGGCCAAAGCAGGACAAAACTCAGCCTCTTGGTTTGTAATAAAGTAGTCTTTCTGCTACATCATCCTTAAAACATGTAGGCAGCTGGCCAGGTCCACAGGGGCAGGCACACCCAAAGAAGGCCACATCTAAACCAAACCAACTCACCATGACTCATTTGTCTCCGTGTTT